GGGGGTCTGCAGCCAGGGGGGGCTTATCAGAATCTGTAAACCCCCTTTAACAAAGGGACCCCCAGATCCCGACCTCCCTCCCTATGTCCCTATGTGAATGAGTATGGGTTACATTGTAACCCTACTCATTCACCAAAAAAAAGTGTAAAAAATAAATGAAAATACAGACACAGTTTTTGACAAATTGTTTATCAAAAACCAAAGAACAAAAACAATGTCCCCCGAAGTAAATGCAATGAACATCGCCGACCCCTCCAAAAAAGAGGTCCACACGCACCGCTGGCTCCTGCAGACTCTAAATAAAGGAAGTAAACTTCATGGAAGTGGTGGGAAGTGGCAGAGCTGTCAGACTGTGGCAGTGTCGGGTGTGGACCTCTTTTGCTGGGGGGTCGGAGGCGGTAGGCAGAGGAGTTGTCAAACGGCATGAACCACGAGTGCAGACCTCTTTTTTTTTGGGGGGGGGGAGGGGGTTCATCATGATTGATGCTAAAATTACTTCGGGGGACATTGTTTTTGGTTTTTGACGACTTATCAAAAACTGTCTCTGTATTTTTATGTATTTTTGACACTTTTTTTACAGAATAAGCAGGGGTACAATGTACCCCATACTCATTCACATGACAGGGGGCCTAAAATGAAGGGCTTCCAGATTCTGATGAGCCCCGTGCCAGCAGACCATCACAACCACTGGTTTTGGGGAAGAGGGCATGTGGCCTGGTATGGTTTGGGAGGGGGGGTGCTCGAATAAGGGTTTGGTATGGATGCATGCTTGGATAAGGGTCTGATATAAGGGACTTGGGAGGACACCACGCCATTTTTTTTAATTAATTTTGGCATGGGGTTCCCCTTAAAGTCCATAGCAGACCCATAAGGCCTGGTAAGCATTGGGGGGAGACCTGTTTTTTTCCCTCTAATTTTAATTGCCGGGAATTCTTTCATTTACATTCAGCTGTTAGCGGGGAATCCCACTGACAGCTGATAAGACATCGATTGTTAAGGACGAGGGCGATCGGCTTGCAGGCCTGCTTCTTAACAACCAGCTAAATGCCGGCAAAAAGCCAATACAAAAAAAAACTGAAAAAAATGAATACTAGTGTTTTATATCCAGCGTTTTTTTCCACTCCTGGTGAGCATGGAACCTAAATGAGCCTTCAAATGCAACAAAACAAAGCCTGCCTAAAAAAGTCCTATATAAGTGTCAGCCTGATATACTGTATGCCACCTAAACTATAAATCCATACAAGATTTGTTCATCCATATTGGAAATAGAAATATAGTTACTGTGCTATTAAACCCAAGATCAAAAATGTAATATATTACAGCTTACAAATCATTAGAAGTGGTGGTTGCATTGTTTATTTTTTTAGGCTTTTTTCCCTCACCTGGTGATCTGGCCAGTAACACACCTCCTGTATTAGAGTACCCCCACTTCGGATGATGAATGAGCACAGGGGGCACAACATACAGCAGCATTGTCAGTCTGCTGGGGAGGGGAGTGTTATGATATACTAGAAGATTTAATTACACTAACAAATTGAAGCCAAACTCCAAATCACACTTCATAACTGGTTACAGCAAATAGTTTTTGCCTTTGGGGATAAAGGCTTTACATGAATGAATAAAAGTTGATAACTTTAAGAATCCCTGCCAGTGTTAAATGGTTTGTCTCATCCCTGTAAACGGATACATCTGGAAGAGAGCTTGTTCTATTGAAAAAGAACAGACCTACTGGCTGGATCACCATGAAAGGTACAGAAAGAAAGCCTAAAAAAAAAAGCCTAATGCAGCTATCAAATCTAAGAATTTGAAAGCTGCAATATAATAAATGTTTGCTTTGGGTTTGATACTGCTTTAAATCTTAATGTTCGCATCAATTTGTGTATTTATATATATATATATATATATATATATATATATATATATATATATATAATGCTTTCTTTACTTTTATCTTTTTTTTGAGCATTGCCTGTGATGTTCACTTCTGCCTTCTGCTGTCATTATGCCATCTGTCCTTCTGAGTTAATATCTGTGGTCACAGCTCTACAAATAGATCTCTGGCTTCCTCTTGAAAAATACCAGGAAGAAGCTCAGAAGCTTTGGCTGTAATATGACAAATTACATCTCTGCTGAAAGCTTTAATCATTACGCAGCAGTCTTAGAGTTCGCCATTAGTAAGACGTCTACAGCAAATTTATGTTCACAAAATTAAATGTTTCCAGTTTAAAGTTTCATTTACTGCACAATGCACATACTTTTCATATTAATCCAATGCACGCTAATTGTAATAATTATCAATTTCATTTTCACTACATGACTCCTTCTTAGTAAAAGTAGCCATCAAAGAATTATGAGCTTTTGTACAACAGTAGACCTTGTACTTGAAATCAAATAAAAGCCAGACTGCTGCTGTTCATAGGCATAACTTACATCAACTTTGAAAGCATTATTTTCACTATTCTTTGGACCTACTCACCTCTTTGCTCTGCATTGTGCTAAAGTAACACTGGCCTCCCATTAAACAAAATATGCACTGCAACAACTTAATTGTAAATATATCTGCCCTTACATTTTCCCTTAATCCCCAAGCAAAGTCTCTCATATACCTTTTGAACCTGCTAGTGAAGTCCACTAGTAAAGCTTCCAGTGATGACGGGACAACACTGCTGCACTGATTGAATACAAAGCAGCTTTGTCCTTCATGTAGGCTGTGCCTGTTTGCCTTACATTGTGATAATAAGATGTTGTGAGGAGCATGGCTAACAGCATTGTGCCAGTTTATGCATATGTCCTCTAGCTTTTTATTCAGAAGACATCCAAACCTAGCCCTGCCTGGTGCTTTCTGAATTGGCAGAACTGACTGTGCTGTTGAAAACCTCCCACCCTGCAAAGAAAAGGGGATTTGGCTGACTCAAAAGAGGTGAAAGATGTTTCTGTTGTTGTGGAGGAGTTTTTCCCGTAATAAAGCCCAGTTACTGCTCTGCTGGTGAGACTGATCTTGTATGCGCCACCCTGTAGTTCTCTGCAGGTAGCCTGTAGTGGGTGGACCATCTCAGTCTCACTTGCAGTTCTGTTCTCTGCTCAGGCTATGATCCCCATAGTGATAATGTCACCACTTCTTTTACAAGCTAATATCTGGGTTTGCAATGGCATTTGGTGCACACAAAGTGGACTTATATCCTTTGTGACCATTGAAGAATATATTTAGATGAAAGTTTTTGTGCCTAGAGCTTAGCTTGAAATACTAGCAAGTAAGCAAGTAAACGTTGCCCCTGTGGATTTTAGAACCACACTGGATGTATTACTGATCATGTGAAACTGTAATTGTTACATATACTGTATCTGCATTATAATCACAGTATTCAATGGTACACTCACTGCCTGTGCAAACATTATACCTCTAATAGGCAACTGTGATGGAAGTTCAGCTAGTTTTAGACAGTTGCAAATGTATAGTACTTATATACTAATGGACACTTTTCATACTTGTATTCTAATGTGCAGCAGGTATTGGAGTTACTAGTTAAGAGTAACACGATTCATTTTAGGAAGTTTTTAAAGTGTTTCTAAAGGCTGAAGGTTTTTTACCATAATACATTCTATGTATTAAAGAAAAAAACCCTTCTATTGTCAGCTACCCCCAGCCCCCTCAAATACTTACCTGAGCCAGATCTGGATCTAGCGCTGTGCCCAAGAGCAGCGGCGCTGCTCTCTCTATCCCTCCTCACTGGACTCAGTGAGAGCCGAAGGAGTCATTGGCTCCTGCTGCTGTCATTCAAACCATGTGACAAGGAAGTGGGGGTCAGGAATGAACCTACGAGAATCGAGCCTGCACATGTCCAACACTAGGAAGCGGCTTCTTATGGTGGCACACAGAAGAGGTGTTTCTAGGAGCACTGGCAGGGGACCCCAGAGTAGGAGGATCAGGGCTGCTCTGTGCAAAACCATTGCACTAATCATGTAAGAATGACATGTTTGTTATTTTAACCACTTGGCAACCGCGCTATAGCTGAATGACGGGTACAGCATGGTTGTCCAGTTGTGGGAGGGCGTCCCCAGTGGTGCAAACCCGGCAATCTCCATGATCGTTGTGTCCTACGGACACAACTGATCACGTGATGTGGTAAAAGGCCAATCACAGCGGCCTTTTCCAACGTGATCAGCTGTGTCCAATGACACAGCAGATCACTGGGTAAATGCAGTTGCTGGTTATCGGCTGCAGTTTCCTCACGCTGTTATAGCGTGAGGAAAGTACTGCCGATAACTGGCAATTGTTAGAAAACAGATCGGCACTGATCATCAGTGCCCTGATGATCAGTGCCCAGCAGTGCCACCCACCTATGCCCAGCAGTGCCACCCACAAGTGCCACCCACCTGTACCCAGCAGTGCCACCCAGCAGTGCCTAGTAGTGCCACCCACCTGTGCCCAGCAGTGCCACCCATCAGTGCCCAGCAGTGCCGCCAGTCAGTGGTATTAGTCAGTGCCTCCCATCAGTGCCACTAATCAGTGCCCATCATTGCTGCATATCAGTGCCATCCAGCAGTGCCCATCAGTGCTACCTCCCCGTGCCACCTCATCAGTGCCACCTATCAGTGCCCATCAGTGCTGCCTATCAGTGCAGCCTCATCAATGCACATCAGTGAAGGAGAAAAATTACCTGTTTGCAAAATGTCATAATAGAAACAAAGGAAAACTTTTTCTTCCAAATTTTTTGCTTTTTTTTGCTTTATAGTGCAAAAAATAAAACACCCAGTGATGATTAAATACCACCAAAAGAAAGGTGTATTTGTGTGAAAAAAATTATAAAAATTTCATATGGGTACAGTGTTGTGTGACCGCACAACTGTCATTCAAAGTGCATCAGTGCTGAAAACTGAAAATTGGCCTGGGCAGGAAGGGGGTATAAGTGCCCGGTAGGCAAGTGGTTAAAAAAGAAAATATTTATCTTTAAAATCACTATCAGATCGCACACAGTTTATACTGCATTAGGAATTCTTACCACAAATGAAACAGGTTGTTTTCAGCACCTCCTCCTTCCCTTGTTTCTCACTCCTCAAATCTGCAAATGTGTCAATAATGACACCAAAGATTAGGTTTAGGACAATGATGATGACAATGAAAAAAAACAGGAGATCATAGATCACTCGAGCTGGAAAGAGGGATTCCTGTTGGAAAATATAAAATAGTTTTATATTAGATTTTGGTAAGAAATACATCTTAAATTCTAGCTGCAGAAACAAAGTTAACCTTCTGTTAAATTTAGGAACAGGCAAACAAGTTTTGACAAGTTATTTTCCTAAAAGGCTAATGAAATCACTTTTTCTTACGTCTTTAGAGGGTTTTCTTAAAATGTCTCCAACGCCTCCTCCATTCCTTAAGCCATGATTAAGTACAGTGACAATACACATGAGCAACGTGTCACACGCTCTCTCTGTGCCATCTTCTTCATCTAAGTTATTGAGAAATAGAGAGAATTAAATAAAAAAGAAGGATGGGGATATGGAAAAAGCCGCAGATTCAAATAAAATAATAAATAAGATAGCGGGATCTATTTTTCAAAGACTGAAGTTTAATTCTCAGTCAATAAAGACGTTGATTTATTGGATAATAAATGCTACTTTCCTATACTTTTTAAATTGTAGATATTATAGGGATGTTCAAAAACTATGTGCTCCATCCTCCTTTATGAAAAGCTCATAAATATGCAATGCTGTTTTCAATTAAATTTGTAAGTGCAGGTTTTTTTTTTGTAGATCAGTTTAAAAGTAACTAGGATGTGGCCTGTTTTTGTAGGCGGTGGGCCTGACGCTATAAAGTTGCCATGTATATTAAGGCGGCATTTTCAGCCTTATTTTGATCCATGCATGGACAGACTGGTTGTACAAAAGTCAATCTACGGACCAACTTCTGTACAACCAGCCTGTCTAGTTCTTCCCAACTGATCAGTGCTGCCAGCTATTGCCAGCAGCATTGATCAGTGTATTCTGATGGCAGGGAAGACTCCCCGCTGTCAGAATACAATCACTAAGTGGGAAGGATTCCCACATCCACAATGAATGTGAGGATGGGGGAGTCAAGTATTTTTTTTTTTCATTCAACCCAGTGGTTGAAAGACCAACAGTGAATAATGTATGGTCTGCCTTACTGAGCATATGTCTAGTATGGTGGGGTGTGGTCTGACATCGACCGCGATGGCTGCTTAGCTTCAGAGCTCCAGCCACAAGGGAGAAACCCTCAGCCATTCTGGAGCAGCCCCGCTCCTGCCATGGGGAAATCTCACCGCAGCGGATCTGCATCGCGGTCCCACTCCCCCAGGGAGCCAGGGACGCAGTTGAGTCAGAATATCCCAGAGATATTCCAGTCCCATCCACAGGCCATACTTACAGCCTATCAGGCTACAGCCTCATGTACCACCAGCTCTGCAACCAGGAGCCCCAGCCGCGAGCCAAACAACACCAGCCCGACAGCCTCCCCGGCTCACAGGAGAGCCCGACATAGTGACTAACAACACCATGGCCTGTCGATCCTGCATTACAGGGTTCGTGCGGAATATGAGTAACTGCACCCTGGATATGGTGACATTTAAACTTAACACAGCTAGCTATCCCTGAGGTTTAGGTCAATACCTTGCTCTTTTTGTAGCGCTGGCTCCCTTCCCCACGCCTCATTCAAGAGACTATTCTGTTGTGGGACATCTCCTCCAGCTACTCAGCCTGTGTTTGTCATGGGGCATCACACCCTCAGCCTTTGCTCTCAAGTCATCAACAAGATCCTGACTCTGGTGGCCTTTGAGGGACGTAAGCTGCTAATAGTTCTCTTTATAGCCTGGTGGCCTAGCCCCGTTATTCCATTCTGTTGTACTGTATTGATTTATGTTTTACAGTTTGTTTGTTTTTTTTCAAACATGTTGGATTTCAGCTCACGGACATGCTCCTTTTCTCTGTGCCTTGCCCCCTTCTCTCTTTCTCCTCTCTCTCTGAGAACAAGGTTCAGAGAGGAACAGTACTACCCCCCGGGGCTAGCCCACTGCTCCTCCTGCATTCCCTCCTAGTCCCTTCCTCTCCATATAGTGCAAGCGATCCTTTAAGCCTATCTTTTCCTTCCCTTCTCTTTACATGTCCGTGAGTTGAAATGGGATACTTATGATTATGTGACGTACTCTATGTATGTTATGGTTCCCCCACAGGACTGTTTAGGGCTGGTCTCCTTCTTTCGCTGTAATACAATGTTCCTCATTGCCTAGACTTTGTTGTATAAGGTTGTATAGCTGGTAAAATCTCTGCTCCACACAGTTTATTTAACTGACTCTTTGAGGTCTGGGCGGGATAACTTCCCCTTCTAAGCTCTGAAGTTTATGTGCTTCTATGATCATCTCTCCCATGTAAGCGGTGATGTCCGGTTAGGGCCCTGATGGGAGGACCTGTGTCTTAGTGGCTCCCCCTTCTGCCCCAGGGGATGTACCCTACACCTATCCCCTACTGGCTCCCTGCTCCCTCCCACACGTCCCCATGTCCCCCCCCCTCGTCCTTCAAACCATCTTCTCCCCTCCCTCTCCTTCCCTGCCCTTGAATTTCCCTCTGTTTAGCCTCTTCCTCTCCTTCGTACATTATACTTCCCATTTGCGTGTTTTTTTTCTGGTTGGCGGGCCTCTCACCCCTTGGTCGTCTTTGGCCATGCACCCACAGAGCAGACTCTACTGAGTCTCCTGAACTCCCTGGACTGCTTTCTACTTTTCCTAGGTGGACTAGTATTCTAGTTCCACCTCTGGACGTTCCTGTGTTTTTCCTATATCTCCTCTTTCTCTCCTTCCTATCTGCTCCCCCCCCCCCCCCCTTTTTTTTTCTCTCTTTTTCTCTTCTTTCTTCTCCCGCTCTCCCATCCCCTGTGTAGACCTAGGGCCCCCTAGGAGAGCTCAGGTTCATTGCACCGCCTGAGACCCTCTGAGTTGTCTTCATGTGCACACCGCTCCTCCCACTTGTATATAAAATTACTATCCCTTAATGCAAAAGGATTGAATGTACCAGAAAAAAGATCCCAAGTCTTGAGGGAGTTCCGAACGGCTCAAAGCCCACGTTGTCCTGCTTCAAGAGACACATTTCAAGACAGGAGCCATCCCCGGGTATGAGGATGGCTTCTACCCTCAGGCATACCATTCCTCCACTGAGGCTTCCAAAACAAAGGGTGTGTCTATTCTCTAAACGAGTCGCATTTCAATTACAAGAGAAATTGGAGGACCCGGAGGGCCACTACTTGTTCCGTAGGGGCAGACTCGGAGCACGACCAGTTACCATTGTCAATATCTATGCCCCAAATTCCAAACAGGTGGCTTTTTTTTCGGCACAACAGAGAGCTTTTAGATGAGTTTGCGTCTGGGTTCCTTATCCTCGGGGGAGACTTTAATGTTCTCCTTAATCCCCTCATAGACACGTCCTTGGGTTCTTCAGACAAATCAAACACCAACTTACTGGTCTGCGTTTCCATGATTCATGGTGTTTACTACACCCACAAGAAAAAGATATTTATTTTTTCCCCCTGTACTCCAGAATCGATTATTTGTTCCTCTCGCAAGCAGACCTCTCCTTCATGCAGCAGGCCACAATTGAGCCAAAGGTGTTATCCGACCACAATCCGATCACATTTACCCTAGCATTCCCGGAAGCACATTCCAGATCCAAAATTTGGCATCTCAATGCCACTCTCCTGATAGATCCCACTGACGTTCAGCATCTCGCTTCCTGTGTGAGAGACTTCTTTGACTGCAATGACACTCCAGGCACCTCTCCGCTCACACTATGGGACGCGCACAATTGTGTAATTGGGGGTGAACGTCTCGCTGTGGTGGCCAAATGGAAAAAGGAACATCAAGCGTTAATTTCTTCTTTATTATCCCGAATTAGCTGTCTCAAGCGCACGCACAAAATAACCAGAGCGGTAGCCACCCACCAGGAACTGACTGTGGTTAGATCCCAGCTCCTTGCACAACTAGAAAAGAATTCTAAAGTCAACTTCTTCTTAGCAGTAGGTAATTTTCTAAATACGGCAACAAGTGTGGCCGACTTTTAGCTAGGGCAGTGCAAGCAAAGCTTTCTTCACGGATGATCCACCAGTTACAGGATGCAAAAGGGGGGGTTCATGAGTCAAATGAATCAATAGCGGCGCAATTCCAGAGGTTCTACAAAGAGCTCTATAACCTGTTTTCCTCCAGCACTCCAACCCCCTCAGCGACCAAACGGGATTTGCTCATGAAAGAATTTCTCGTGCGCTTTGGTCCTAAACCAATATCTCGCATGACGGCACATAAATTGGAGCTTCCTCTCTCAACAGAGGAATTTGACCAAGCACTGAAGGACATGAAACCGGGTAAGAGCCCAGGCCCTGATGGCCTGACAATATTTCAAAACGTTTACTGATGATCTGAAGACGCGATTTCTGGAGGCTTTCCGCTCCTATCATCATCCTCTAGCTCCCCGTCAAATCTCCTGGAGGCCCACATTGCAGTAATTCCGAAGGAAGGCAAAGATGATACCCAGGTTACTAACTATCGCCCGATTACGCTCCTGAATGTGGAAGTAAAAATCTTTGCGAAGATATTGGTAATAGGCTGCTTCCCTTGTTACCAGCCCTAATTTCCACGGACCAATTGGGCTTCATTCCAGGTAGGGAGAGTCGCGATAATACCACAAAAGCTCTGAACTTGCATCATTGGTTGACCTCCCACTCACAATCAGGATTCTTTTCTCGCTGGATGCGGAGAAGGCATTCCACAGAGTGGCCTGGGATTACATGGATTCTGTATTGTGGGCAATGGGTCTTCTGCCACGCATGTGTGCTTATATACGGGCCCTATACTGTAGCCCAGTGGCTCGTGTGAGAGTCAATGGCCACGTGTCGAACGCCTTTGAGCTTCGCAATGGTACACGACAGGGATGACCCCTGTCCCCGTCGCTGTTCGTCCTGACCCTGGAACCTTTCCTAAACAAATTACGCCACAGCCCAGATATAAATGGCAAAGAGGTTAAGAATCGAGCTTACAAACTCTCAGCGTACGCGGATGACACACTCCTTTACCTATCGGACCCCCTTATCTCCATTCCCAATCTCTTGCGTGAGTTAGAGCAATTTGGCCATATCTCCAATTTTAAGATAAACTACACAAAATCTATTGCCCTCAACATATCGCTCCCAGAGTCCGTGGTTTAACTTTCCCTTTACTTGGGCGACCAAGGCAATTACCTATTTGGGCATCCAAATCCCTCTAACTCTGTCAGACGTATACCCCCAAAACTACACGAAATCTATTGCCCTCAACATATCGCTCCCAGAGTCCGTGGTTTAACTTTCCCTGTACTTGGGCGACCAAGGCAATTACCTATTTGGGCATCCAAATCCCTCTAACTCTGTCAGACGTATACCCCCAAAATTTTTTGCCAGCCCTAGATCGCCTGTGCA